AGTGTGGTGACTGTATGTTTCTCTTCCCCCCAGCCATACAGTTAGTCCTACCATTCTGTGAAGAGACCAGTATCAGGTTTTTAAATTTATGATTAGGATAGAAACTATAAAATATTGACTGCCTGAGAAAGAATTCTTTCCAATACTGTTAAAATTGCAACATGACCCATAAAAAACTCTACCTTGTGGGTGAACGGCAGGATTACGAAACCTGGAAAGAACAGCTTTAGAAACAGGCTCGTTATAGCGGCAGCTTCCCGGGACCGAGCGAAGCAGAAAAACAACAACTTGCATTTTTATTGTACGTATTTTCCCTGAGTTATGTACTTCCCCTGGTCCATGCGGCCCCCCCCACTCGGAACCATGCGGTCTCCCCTCCCCGACTGTGGATTCTTGTTGCGCCCGCCTTTCCTCAAATCCCTGTCTCGGTTACTGGAACGTGGTCCTCCTGTAGCTCCCATTGGTCTGTGGACTCTCAAGCCACTCCCCTCCCCCCGTATCTCGACCCAATCACAGCCCTCCTTCTTGCCCTCCCCCCGAACCCATATAAACCGCGCGAGTTTTAGATTAAAGGTCTTTCTACCACGGAACACCTAGGGAAGCTTGGTCTCTTTCTCCGCCTGCCAGAGGGGGACAGCGCGGCCGAGCTCCACTCTGGGAAAACCAACAGAGAGTCCGCTCTCAAATCCGTTACTACCTGATGTTAAATGTTTTATGGATCATACTTCCAGTTCTAATAGTGTAAACAATGCTTGCTTCAGGTGTTCAGGAAATCTGTTGGTGAAACTGTTAAGGGTAATGTTATATTCCTTAGGGTTTATTAATCCTTCAGATTGTATCCAGTGCAAGTAGATACAATGCTCAAATCAGTTTCAGCATTTTGATACACAGTAAAAGCATTTATTCCGGTTGAGAGCTGTAAGCTGCAATTTTTTAAAGACTTGTGAGGTTTGTAGCATGTTTTAAAGACACCAAACTGCAATACATCTGAATATAAAACAAGTGCTTTATAAATTGCTTTATCACACTTCAAAGCTGCATGCTAGAAGGATTGCCAAATTCAACTGCAAAACTTGCCAATTTGGATCATGTGAAGGCAGGTGTGAGATTACAGCTGTAATAAAACTGAAATTGAATACTGGTAGCTGAATTTGTAGTAGACAATTCATTTGATTTATATAACATAAGCCACATGAGAAGATATTTGTAGGTCAGCATCTTCGGCTGGAAACAGTTAGAAGAGTTGTGGTAGGTTGCTAGGAATACTGAGTTAATACTTGTTCAGTCTGGCAAAATGCTGGTGCAGTGAAACTACATTCTGTCAAACGTCTTGGGGGGCACACCATTTGCAACAAGGAAAAACTAGTCAGTTATGTCCAATGCCACTTGTCCCATAAAAAGTGTTGCTAAAATTAGCATAAGAACCTAGACCATATGGAGTTTCCCAGGGCAAGAATTGGTACATTAGTTATGAGCACATTTTCAGTTTGCAAAATACTTGAGGTGTGTAAATACACAAATTAGTGATTAAACTCCTTCTATGGTAATAGAACAATGTATTATAAAATGCAAATGGTAAATGATCCAATTCAAGAAATCAGAGGAAGCACAATCAAATATAGCCTGCAGAGCTATTTCCAATCCAAACAGTCTGTTAGGACACAGATTTGCATAAAAGAAGAGAAAAACCCACAAAATAAAGCACTCACCCCTTAATTAAAAAAACAAACTAACAAAGAAACCAACAAAAGAAACCCCCTAAACTCCCTACTTTTGTTTTGAGAAAATTGTGTCTGTTTTTTTGTTTTTTACGAGGACTGAACTAATGACCTGATGATTCTAACATGAGTTGGAGGTTTGGTAAGAATGAGTAAAAAATGGAAATCATGCTTTTAAAAAGCAAGTAAGATTAGGCATACAGAAATGACTTTGTCAGTTTCCATTTGCCATTCCCTGGAAAGTACATGAGCTTTTGTCTAAGTTGTGAACCTATGAAGACTGCAGCCTGGTATAAACATACCAGGACTTATGAGACAAAATTTCTAAAATCTTCATCTTTGCAAAGTATATTGAACATCTTGGCATGAAGCAATGGAAGATAATTTTGCTTTTTCTTTTGCTTTATCTGTAATCTGACCTGAACCTCTAGTTCAGGAAAGAGAAGAAGGCAAAAATCTTGAAGCAGCATATGAAGAGTAGCACAGTATTTCCATTATTATTTCTTTCTACAAAAATGCAGGGAGTGAGTGTATGGTTGGGGAGAAGAATTAGAAATGTGGTTTAAAAAAAAGTTCATTAAAGTTCAGCAAAGTTTTTGTGATGATGGTGGGTGGCTAGTTTAGATGATTCAGGAAGACACATTGTTGGGAGAAAAAGGCAATGAGGTAATGTAGAAGTTGTGAGCATTTCTGATAAATGTGAGTTTCAGATTTAAGCATTCAAGAACCTCATGAATGAATGAATAACCAGTAAATTAATAGAAGAAACTTAGTGAAAATACATGTATAAAAAAGAAGTGCAGTAGGAATCTGAATGAGTTTGTAGCAGCCAAAGTGAGAAGTAATTTTTGTAGCAAAGCAGAAGTAAGACTGCAAATAAATAAGTGAAAGAAAAATTAATATTGCTGCAAAAATAACTGTCCAATAGGCTTTAATTTGTCATAGTATTCAGCACAACATACTGTCTTAAAAAATTTAGACTCATAAGTGTTACTTACTAAGCACAGTACCTTGATGATTACCATTAGTTCAGTTTATAGTCTGGCAGTCATGAAAAGCAAACAGAGCCAGAGAGAAAAGAATAAGAACTTGAGATGAGCAGAGGAGAGAAAACTTTATAAAATTCCTTGGTTGGAATGGCACTAGAGGACATAATCATAATAACCATAATGAAAGCATAAACTACGACTCTGGCTGGAACTGGGATAGTAGGTGTTTAAAATAAACAAAACCCCCTGGATTTATCAAGGAATGGGATGGCACACATTATGGATGGGTTTTTGTTTTTTTTAATTTAATCAAGCACACAGTACTGCTTCTAATGACACAGTATTTCAGTTTTAATTGTCTTTCTGACATCTAATAAAAACCTCACAACATTACTGTTACTAAAATAACCTTTATTGTTTCTTATTATGGTACCTCCTTTACCTGTTGAATAGTTTCAGTTTAATGTGACAGAGATGTAGAGGGTAAGGCAAACATTAGTTTGCCACTATCTTTTATGTTTGACAGCAGCTGGCTCACCAGGCCCTGTGTGTCTTGTTTTTTGCTTAGATGTGTGATTTTGAGGATGGAAAAGAATTATTTGATTGTGTTGGGAAGGTGTAGTAGACATGGGAAAAAATCCTTACAATATTTTGATGGTCATGGGGTATCTTTTTTTTCCAGGTTTATACAGTGATTTTTATCATGATGCTTTTGGACATAACTGAGACTTGTAGGTAGTACTGCTGAACAGTAACTGATAATAATTAACGATCCTTCCTGAAGATGTGTAACTGTGAGCTTTTAAAAAATCTTGAGATTGCTAAAAGAAATCTCATGGCATTATAGTTCATATATTACGATGAACTCTTGCAGAAAAAAAACAAAATGGGGATGCATCAGGGTTGAGGAATGACTGAATTTCAAATTAAAAGTCTTCATTGAAGAACTGAAACATAAGTTGGAATAAGGTGAGGGCAAACTCAAGACAATGTTTATTCTAAGCATGTGCAAACCTTTTTGTGATGCTGTCTTCAAAATGATGCAGCAGCTAAATGTATTATGCCCCTGGGAAGCATTAAACTTAGAGCCTGATTCTCCTCACTACATAATAAGAATGGTGAAAAGCAGCCTTAAAGTAGGTATAAATTGCATTTAAGTCTTCTTTATGGCTCAGCAGTGGTAGAAAGGAGTCTCCATATAAATGAGAATCAGGTCCCCAGTATTTATTTAACCCTTGGGCTTTGTATATCATTTTATTTGCACCTTTAAGAGATTTGCAGAGGGATTTTAATCAGGATTCAGTGTACAGAAAGCTAAATGTTTTCATTGCCTTACAAGTTACTTTAATCATAGAGGCAGATCATTCTTTTTATTTCTCAAGAGGGAATGGTAGAAATTCCTGCCTTTGTACAAACTGAGCTAAATGTTTCTGACACCCTTAGTACAGTGTCAATTGGAAATTCACATTTCATGTAATAACAGACCATTTTAATTTCATGAGCTGAAGAATTGGTTTCCACTTGCAAATTGTACTGAAGAAAGCAATATTGTCAGAAGAACTGGCACAGTGCTTCAAGAGATAAATCTATTGAATTAAATAAGAGGCTTTCATTACCTTTTACATTACATTTCTGTATAACATAAGCATTAATTAAACTCTTCATTGCTTTCTCCTATTCAGCAGAGCACTTGCTCAGTCTGACAAGAAATACTGCCCAAGAAAACATGTGGCATCCAAAAACAGTCTTTAAAATACACTTAAGCAGAAGGGAAGGAAGGTGAGAAGGGGAGAATGTTTTGGTGCTCTTGGGCAAGTGGGACCTGTCTACAGAAAAGCATAATTTCTGTTTTTCAGATTTTGACAGCAAATGCATGATTTCTGTTTTTCAAGTTTTGACAGTTCCAATGACTTGTAACAGGTCATCTCACTAGGTATTTCTCCAGGCATTTTGAATACAGACAGACAGCAAGTAACTGTTTTTCAAATCTTAAGTATATTTCTGTAAATGGGGAAGGCTTCTTCAGCGTGAAAAAACACTTTTGATATGAGATAGTTCTACCTCTTGAAGTATCAAAACAACTCTACAAAGTGTGTCTTCCCTCCCATGTGAGGAATACCCAACTATAGAAAAGTTGTTGATACAGATTCAAAGTGTTCTCTGTCAAGAAGTCAAGCCTTAAAGAGCTCTTTGGGTAATCCACCCAAACTGGAGTGCCATCATTTGTATTTGGTTCTGGCACATTTCTGTCTGTATTCAAATATTTCCAATTCCTTTTTTCTTGTGATTCCAGGGGAACATTTGAGAATCTGCCCTCAGGAATATACATGCTGCACCTCAGAAATGGAGGACAAGTTAAGCCAACAGAGCAAACTGGAGTTTGAAAACTTAGTGGAGGAGACAAGTCACTTTGTACGCACCACTTTTGTATCCCGGCACAAGAAGTTTGACGGTAGGCTGGATATAATTTACTTATTTCATGCTTATGGGATTTAAGAGTCAGGTATCCATAATAAATTCCAGTGTTCTTTTCTTTACCGTTAGATATCACATTTGCAGTTGTCAGTTTGGTTAACGTACAGCTGGTATGCTTATCAGCCTTGTGAGTATTGCCTTTAATTACAATGACATCAAGGATCAGACTATTGAGCGCCTGCAGGCTTGGCTAATGTTGAAAAAAGAGATTAGATACGCATAGAGACATTTATAATTTTGTCTCCTAGTTCCAAATGCAAAATTTAGGTTTGTAATCATGTTCACTGTTGCAAGATGAACTGTGGATCTCCCATGATTTTTGTTATTGCAGAGAACTATTTGTGTAGTTTGCCTTTTTATAGCCTTAAGGCTGTGTTTTTTTCCTACATGATTTTCTTGTGAAGTACAGAGTCTCTAAGAGGGCTTCTGGCTTCCAAACACAAAGGCCTCGGTTGCATTTGAGAGGGATTATCATACAAACTACTTAAGCAGTATCAAACACATCTTTTCTACCTCGAAAGAACTGACAAGAACAGTTTGGGGGTTTTATTTGCTTCCAATCAGCCTTTATAAGACCTTTGTAAGATCAAGGTTATGATGTCACAATTTTCTAAGTGCTTGTCTTTAATAATGAAGATTAATCAGTTTTTGTGGTTGTGTCCATATTTTTAAGTCATGGTTTTATCTAAATATGAAATCTGCATTTGTGTTAAAAGTGTCACCCTAAGCACTTCTGCATATGTGTAAGTTGAAAAGGATCTGACATTAAGAGGCATAAATCAGCACTGCAAAGAGGATTGCAGAGCTTTGTGTAGGTGGAAAGCCTGCAAATAGGTGGAGTAAAGCTGGCTAACCCCAGGTAATGGGTCATATCCACACATGTAGGAGAATGGTGGAAAGGTTATCTCTAAAAATATAAGCTTACTTCGGAACTCTAAGGTTGCATTCAGAAAAAGTGATGTCTCTAACTCCTTGGGGTAATTCTGTATCATATCCAATTAAAGATTTTTTTTCTAATATTGATTCTCTCAATATGACACAGAAGGGAAAACAAATTAAAAAAGAAGGGAATGGAAAATGTATAATATGGGGATGAGTTGGAGAAAAATCCACAGCAGCAGATCAGATGCTAATATAATTTAGTGAGTGTCCTTGGAAGGTGTGAATGACTGTGCACTGTTCTGCATTATGATGACTTTCCTTTTAAATGTGAATTTGGAACTTTTTGTGCAGTGGATTTTCAAAATTTTACTTATCTTCAAAGGATCTATAAACAAAATAAATCCAGAAGTCATGTGCGGTCTTACAAGATGAGTGTGCAAGCAGAACAGATATCTCAAACCATCTAGGTCATGTACAAGGCTCTTTTTTTTTATAGAAGGAAACCAGGATGATTGCTGGTGTTCAGTGACCCTGCAGTATACTCAAAATTTTGGGCTCATTGACCACAGAGCTCAGATGTCACCTTACTAATTCTTTGGCAACTTCAGGCCTTTTTATGTTGCAATGAACTTAAGGGCATTATGGCATTTTCAGTAACTGAAATTCTGTATCTTAATACTGATGGTAAGGTATAGCTGAAACTTACTGATTGCTTTTAAGTACTCCACTCTGGGATTCTTACAGATCTGCTGCACAGATAAATAAATGGAATAAAAGACTGACTGGTTTCTTCTGTCTTATGGCTGATGTTTTAAAGGGAATTTGCAATGTGACATCTTATCAGAGAGCATTTGAACTTTGTGTATGCTTTCAGTATTTTAATGCTATTCTAAAGCTTTTCAAAATGTGATCACTTATATGGGAAAATTGCTTAGCCTTTCTAGAGAGGCAAATACATTAATGTAAAAATGTATTCACCTAATAGGCTGTCTTTCAGTGTAAAACCAGCTAAATTTATTGCAGTTTAAAATAGGGTGCTGCTTTTCAGTATGAAGCAATATTAAGATTGTTAGATAAGGTCAGTGTTTTAACTGTTCGAGAATCATCCTTTTTTGTTGTTGTTTTTTAATTTGGTACTTTGATTGCACAAGGGAATTCTGATAGATGATTCTGCCATTTAATGCTAGTATACCACAAATAACAAAACAGATATAGCCAATTGTGATGATTTTATGGAAGTTTTGTAAAGTACCGGTGTTTATCAAGAGCAGCGCATGTAAGCAATAAATGAATATATGAAAAACTAAGGAATGTTGCGATAGATATTAGCTTTGCTCCTGTAAGGAGTTAATTTAAACTAGAGTTGCTGCCAAACTCTTTGTTCATTCAGACATTTATATAATTTTGAAAACTCTTGAAAGGGACATTGAAGGGATATCTTGTAGACCTTCAAATTTTTTTTTACTGCTGTACTGGACTTGTCTTAGGTTAATGTTAAATTTTGGAACATAAGTATTCTTAGGAGTATGTGAACTCTTTGTTGAATTTTGATCTGACCTTCATAAACCTTGCCTTTCTTATTTTATTTGCTTTCTTCCCCAAAACCATACACTTAGGCATAGATGGAATGATGTTATAATTTTCATTTTGAGAGACAATTTGAGATCTGTTTTCCTTTCCAGAATTTTGTCCCAGATTCGTGATCTAATCTTAAAAGGAAATTCAATCTGCTTTAACTTGAACATTGTCTCTTTAGCCCTCTGGTAAGACAAACATCCTTACACAGAATCACAAAGCATGGCTGAGATGTGATGGAGGTATTCTAGTCAAAAGTCCCAGCTCTGTCTGCTCCTATGAGAGGTGATCCAGTCCTCTCATCACCTTACTGCCCTTTGCTGAGTTTGTACCAGTGTGCCCATATCTCTCTTGTACTGGACCCATCTCTCCATATGTAGTCTTATCATGCTGAGCTGAGAGAAAGATTCACCTCCCTCAGTCTGCTGCCAATGGTCTTACATAATTTCTATGTCAGTTTCGTATTTCATTTTACCTCAAGTACAGTACTTCCAAGTCTTTACAAGAACTAAATTTCTGTAATAACTAAAAGCAATAGAAGCTAAATATGAAATTTGTAACAGAGAACTTTAAAAATTACTAAGCTTTTTGGAACTAACTATGATCAGAAGTTGTTAAATCTTTCTTTTAACTGGCAATCAATTCTTGCATTTTAAAGCCCTTTATAAGTTTTCATTTCTTATTCATTTGTCCTCCACATTTCTAAGGGGCAGTCAATATGTTGGGACTTTTAACTACTTCATTCTTCTACATTCATTTTTTTCCTGTTTTATTCCTCATAGTATGTGAGGTTCAAAGATTTCTCAGAGCCAAAGGTCTGACTGTTATTTTTCATTCAGTTTCCATGTTCTAGACAAGAGGCGTGCATTAGCATACAACATAATGCTAGCTGCCAGTTGTTTCTTGGCTGAGCCTTATGTGCAGATGTTTACAGCTCTATTGCCCACATCTCCATATTTGTCATTGCATTGACATACTGGATGGTCTTTTCAAACAAAATCAGTATCTGGAATTTCACTAATGGGTGCATGAGGATCCAGAGAATCTTCTCCTAAGAATCTTACCAAATAAATAAAGCCTCGAACTGAGAAAAGTTCCTTTGAAACAGCAGGTGTTCGGTGTTCCTAGCAAAGAATGCAACGCCTGTTTCAGCAAAAGGACACACAAACCTTTCCAAACACTAGGAAAAGAAAGAAAAAACTTTTCCAGCAGACAGAAAACACACAGGAAATGAAGAATTCCAGCAGATACAGATTTTTCTTTAACCTCAAGGCTTTGTGTAGGACTAACCTGTATAAGCAGACATGTAACAATCAGCTGTTTCCTGTTCCTAGCACTAGACAAGTAATCATGCTCCAATTCTTGGACCTCAACTGTATACCTCAAAGCAGCTTAAAATATACTATGCTCCCAGTGTAGCTGTAATAGTATCATCTTATTATCACCAATTCCCCTGCATACTGACATTGCTGAGCAGCTGTTTCACACACAAGCCAATTTCTTTTAAGTATTGCTCCATCAGCAGCCGAAACCAGCTCCGGCCGGAAGGTTTTGTCATAAATGTTAATGAGGAGACAAGTAGCTGTTCAATGACATTTTCTCACTAATCCTTTGAATAACTATAGGAAAAATATAGCAAAGAATTTTAATTTAAGCTAAATAGATCTGAACCTGATAAAAGAGACATCGTCTCCTCATTCTCATTGAAAATTACAGTTCCAGTCTTGGCAATGGTGTTAAAAATGAACTAATGTCTAAGAATAGCTGTCATGAACTTGAATGGATAAGGATAGCCTTCAGCAGAATGTATGAGACATGACGTCTTCTAAGGAAAATAACCTGGATAGCCTGAGAGCCAATCTGCAGCCTCATTGATCTGTCATACAGGGTCATCACTCCCCATGCTCCCTTTTTTTTACATTCTAGGAGAACAGTGATCCATACTCATTAGTGCCGCTCATATTTCTTACAGTAATTACCAGCAGTAGCAGTGTAAATTACACAGCAGCAAAGAAGTTTTCAAAGATAAACCCCCAAAACTATGCCTGCAAGAATAGCTATCATCCCAGATACCCCGTATTCCCTTTTCTTGAACAATTTATGAAAGAATTTGGAGAAAAATAGTGGATTTGAATATTTCCTTCATACTAGAGCTGACAAAAATATGTTTTGTGAAGTTGCTTTCCAACAAGGTAAGAACTCTTCAATGATATGAACTATTATCGACAGATATAGCTGTCACATTAAACTTGGCAAGAAAAATGTGTGGAAAGTGAAATAAGGGAGATGCTGGAAGTTGGAATACACTGAGGTTCAGCTGCATGGCCAATACAAGTCTCCTGCCCTCTGCTCTATCTTCCTCCCACTCTTGCTGCCCAGCCTGCCAGCCTACCTTGCGCCCTAGCTCATGCCCAGAGTCACAATGACCTCCATGGATTTCTGCAGAAGAGGGGAAATACAGCAGCACGGGAGGTCACTTCAGCAGGTGAAGGATGGACTTTCAACAGCGTATTTTTTCAT